AAGATCCATGCATCGACTACCTAATAGAAGACCTAACCTATGACTGGACGCCCACTGGCCCAGAAATCTCCAGTATGAGGGCAACAAAATCCCAACATCAAAACCTCTACCGAGAAGCATCGATAAGGGATGCTGGGCCCGGTTCCCAACACGTGTTTCTCCCCATGAATGGACTCGAGCAATGTGGAAAAAGAAAAGAAAAAAGGGATAAGCAACATCCAAGGCTAGGGTTGTAGAAGAACTTCACTCAAAATATTCTGTTGTTGTGCCTTTGTTTTTCGTTGTTGTAGCTACACTCTCAGAATATGTTTGATGTCAACCGGGACCCACGTTGGGGCCTTCTTAGCAGCGCCAACCAAGAATTGACAATGAAGTTCAACCATGGCCAAGGTGAGTCTCTCTATGCCGGTTTCTCTCTCCCTCCCTCTTCTTCACCTCCTCCCCTCTGCTGTCCTTCTCTGTCCTTCGGCATGGGGGGGCCCAGAACTCAGCCCCAGGCCACGCAGACCTGAGATGGTCTGCGCTGGGCTGTGTGACCAGGACACGTTCAGGCCTGAGTCTGTCGAGTGTGGCTGTGTGACTGAACGCCGCACACAGGAAATTCAAGAGTCAAAGTCAACTGTAGAGTCAAAGGTACCGCACCCAGGCCCTGGGTTGGATACACTCACTTGTTGTGCGCAGGTACCCAGACAGCATCCAGGCCGGAGGGAATTCGGTTTCAGGCCGATCTGAGCCCTCATTCGCATGGAGATCTGGACGGCCGAGAGATACAGCACCCGGGGTCCAGACCCCGCGTCAACACTACATAAGAGTTAACTTCCTGGCTTTGACATTCATTCTGTCTTGCGTTGATGCTGACTTCACGCATTGACTTCGACGTTGGCTCGACGCTGCGACACTGGTTCGACGCTGTGACGCTGGCATTGTGATTGGCGAGGCGCTGCTAGTACCGGCATGGTGGCCGGCTTGCTCCTGTCTTCTTGGCATGCTGATGTGGCAGCTGCCGTGCGCTATCACTGACGTGGCTGCTGCCACGTCTATCATGCTGACGTGGCTGCTGCCCACGTGTTCTGTGACTGGGACTACATATTCGGCATTGCTGTTCTATTCGTCGTCACTTCAGGAGGAGATCAGGACTGTGGAGAGTTCGAGGATACGTACCTGGTGGTCTTCATGTCGACATTGCTTAACTCCCTAGAGTCCGTCCCTACTTATCTATCCTACTTCATTCTCTCTCTCTCCTCTATGTCCGCTCTTCTGCTCACCCAACGATGCCTCAAAGTCCTTCCACGTCATGTGTGCTCATCCCTGTCCTCTTCCGTCTGTCCTCCCAATCCCAGCGGCACCTATGGAACCATGAGGCCGCACAGCTATGACTGCGCTGGCTTGGCAGTTGTACTGCACCGGCCCCTCCTCCTTTGTCTTTGTCAATGTTCCTTCCTGGCTCTTCGAGCCGCGATACTTTTGGTGCTGCTGGCCAGCAACCTGTGAACTGAAGGAATGTACCTCCACAGTTGCCTCCAATGCTTTTGTCAGTCGTGGGAGACTGCGGTTGCGTCATCGAGGACCCGGACCTTCCAGTCAAAGAAGCTTCCAGACATCCTCCGCCAACTTCCAGATGCCAGGGCCATTACTTTAATGCCGACAATACCCGGACCTTCCCTTAGGGACAAGTTTTATTATTGTACACCCGACCTTCACTTCGGCCGGGCCAATCCGATGCGGGTCGCCCCTAGTGGGTGCCGCCAAGGCCTGGGGCCTTACACCCACCACCTTTTGCCCCTGGTGGGTGCCGCCAAGGCCTGGGACCTTGCACACCCACCACCTTAGGTTCAAGGCCCTCTGAGGTTGACTTGCAGGTTGCAATAATGTTCCCGCCAAAAGGAAGGAACTCCCGTTAGGCCTAGAACCCCGGAGAGGCAGTGGTAGGCGCGGTACCACAGCCTAAGTGAAGCTGTGAGGTCGTGGTGGAAGAGTATATCATTGCAGTGCAATGAGTGAACCGGTATCCTACTCGGCAGTCATGCTGCTGCTCCACCCAGAGAAAACGTTGCGTGGAGTGCAGGGAGAACGATGGGGCTGGAGGACAAAGAAGAAGACCTCCTTGGCTGTGGCGAAGGATGAGTAGTAGGGCGCAGTCCTGGCTATGGTGGTAGAGGGTGAAGTGGCCCCCCATGCCAGAGGACGGAGAAGGACAGCAGAGGGGAGGAGGTGAAGAAGAGGGAGGGAGAGAGAAACCGGCATAGAGAGATGGTTGAACTTCATTGTCAATTCCTGGTTGGCGCTGCTAAGAAGGCCCCAACGTGGGTCCCAGTTGACATCGAACATCTTCTGAGAGTGTAGCTACAACAACGAAAAAGAAAGGCACAACAACGGAATATTTTGAGTGAAGTTCTTCTACAACCCTAGCCTTGGATGTTGCTTATCCCTTTTTTCTTTTCTTTTTCCACATTGCTCGAGTCTATTCATGGGGAGAAACACGTGTTGGGAACCGGGCCCAGAATCATCCCTTATCGATGCTTCTCGCTAGAGGTTTTGATGTTGGGATTTTGTTGCTGTAATGAACCCAGATCGTGAGACAACTGTCAACAATGCAAGTCCAGATAAATGTCCATCGGCTGATGATAATAGTCCAAAATCGTATCCAGACAGAATGAGGTGAGATATCATACACAGACGAAGAGAGAGGAGGGAGAAGAGACAAAGGAGAGGAAGAAAAATGCCCACTCCTGCTTCAGGATCCCTCCTCCACTGCCACCTCAACAATCAATAGTCTGAACAAGTATCCGAGTATCCTCAATGTGCCACGTGGTACGTCTAATCAGTTCCACATCAGCATCTGGAGATAGAGAATGAAGTAGGATAGAGTAAGTAGGGACATACTCTAGGCAGTTACAGCATTAAAAGGAAACGAAGGAGTTGCAGCTGCAGTATTGATGATTGGAGGCATGATGCCGGGATTTCTTTGTCAGGAGACATCAGCACAATTGTGTAGTCTTGACTAGTAAACCAGCTTTCGACCTTGGTGTCGTATGCTCATTCTGCTTTGTGCCTTTTGCTGCATGGAGAATTTGTGTTCTCTTCAAGAGGTTCCTTGCAAAGTTTTTTTTTCCCCCGGAGAGGGGGGGAGGGGGGGGGGGGGGGGGGGGCGGGAAGTGAAGGTTTGTTCAGCCTCAGAACCTAAACACATTCAAATAACGAAGGGGCCAATGGATGGATGGGGTAGTGTAGGTCTTGCCGGCCAATTGTCTCTGTCTAGTCAGGTCGGGAGCAAAAACAAAGTAAACCATTAGATTGTCCAACCATGTATGGGACTACCGTCGTCACCTGAATAGAACGCCCGGTCATTATAGTTGTGTTTTGGGGCAACTTTCAATCTCGACACAGCGATAATGACCAGGTGTTCTATTCAGGTGAACATGATAGAGTCAGTGGCTGCATGATAGCACCTTGTGCTACTTCACATAGACATCTCAGGCGTACTTTCCGATCTGTCTAATTATGATTGTCCTTCTCTTTTGTGCTTCCCATGTGTTTGCAACTTTGCAGAAATTGTTCCACAACTTACAAGTACAGGAAGGAGAGATAAGTACTAATCTTTGGCTCAGTCAAATGGTGAAAGAATCTTCATTTGCTCAACCCCTCATCAGTTAGTTTGGGGTAAAAAAACAGGCTGCTTGGTCAACCTTGTCCTTTTTTTTCCCCGGGGGGGGAGGCGGGGGGAGGGGCGGGGGGGGGGGGGTCACGTGGGGGGGGGGGGCCGTCTAGTTGGGATGGGCCAGTAGAGGCTGTACATGGAGGGGATCCCACGGGGACGACGGGGAGGAAGGGGGGGGGGGGGGGGGGGGGGGGGGGGTGGGGGGAGAGGTGTAAATCCTTTCTTTTGAAAAGGGTTAGGCCCTTGACCTTATTGTATTCATTTGATATTATCAGGATTGGAACTCAATGCATGTTTGTTTCTTCGCAGTGCATTTGTGTACCATTCAGCTACACGGGCTGGGTGGCCTCGTCCTGTGATAGTTTTATCGCATTCCTTCTTCACGGAGCAGCTTGTCAGATCAATCCTGTGTCATCTGTTCTGGGACACTTTGAAAATGTGGGGCCGCACCAGATTTGAGTGACTGGTAGTGACTTCTATGACTTGATTCGTTTAAGTCCGCTTGAGAAGATCCTCTTCTTTAATGACAACAAACGAAAACGAGCTGCCCAATTACTGAAGACTATGTAAAATTGCAGCAAGCTGTATAATTGTGAGAAAGGGTGTCAGTTGTAGATGGTGATGTTAGAGCATGAAATGAGTCCTTGGTTCTTTAGGTCTCTGTGGGGGATGCAGATGTTAGTCAGAGATTGACGCTCACCCGCTTGGACAACGGTTCTTTCTCTAGTAGGCATCTGATTTGAAACTGTTACATCAGTCTGAGAGAACAAGTTTGGATCATAGAGGATACTTCACACTGTGCAGTGTGCAGTTATGGAAAACATTCAGTTTTCAGCACCGAAACGTCAGAGGACAAGTTTGGAGGGTACTTCACACTTTGCAGCAGCAGCTATGGAAAGTGGTGAGTTGCCAACCCCCAACCAATTCTTCGAGGATCAAGACAAGAGGCTAGAGGATGCACGTTTGGCTGTTGAGGTATTTGTGGCTGAAGTTTGTGGTGCTGGAAAAGGATGGTGTGGTATGAATTGGGACCGTTTCAACGAGTGTTTTGATTGGGAACTTCTGGCATCCAAGCGTGGCGATGAAGATGCTTGGAGATCAGTATTATGGCTGCATATGCTGAGCATATTAGCTATGCACATCTGCTCCTTCTCAATCTTTTCATTTCATTTTCATTACATCATAAAGACTTGGCTGCCCTGTTCCAACAACCCAAATCTATCGTGTATGGATAGTTTTCTGAGGTCTGTGGGGAAAGCGTTGTCCTCGTGTGGCAATTCCATTGCATCCCTCAAAGAAATCGAAGTCATTGGTCTAGATCAGTTGGATCCGCCAGGCCGTGCCCAATTTTTGGAAATCCTCTCGATTTTTTTTCAACAGCGCCTCTGTGCCGTTGAAAAACTTCGAATGGACGTTCCCTGGGACGAGTGTGCTGCGTTGATTCAGGGCATGATTTCCAATAACAGTTCATTAAAAGATTTGCACCTCAATTTTGACTATCCGTGGGAAAATGGAGGCTTCGAAGAGACAAGCGTCCATATTGTCCAGGGGGTGCTGGCTAGTGAGAGCCTGCAGTCTTGTTTTCTTGCAAGGATTCCGCGATATGCGCTCACCGCTTTAGCCGAGGGTCTGGCATCTGCAGACATAGGTTTTCATGCTGCTCCTGCAGAAACATCTGTCAAAGCGGATGTAAGTGGCCGACTCCGCTTGCCCACGGGAACAACAAGAGGGCTCCAAGAGCAAGCAGTCCGAAGAGGACCTCAGCTCAAGAAGCTTAAGCTTTTTTTTTCAGGTGACCAGGGAGGGGCAGATTCCCTTGCAGCCATGCTGGCAACGAACATCACTCTTAAGGAACTGGAAATTATCGTTCGCAGTCCCCACATTGACATTACAACGATTGTGAAAAAAGGGTTGTTGGGTAATGTTTGCCTAGAAGATCTTAGCTTATCGGTAACTCACACCGACACCAGGGATCTGCCATCTGGATTGAGGGAAGAGATGCTCTCCACATTGGAGTCCAATAAGACACTTGAGAGATTTACATTCAATTTCAAGTCTGACAAAACTATTGATTGTAAGTTGGGAAGAAACAGAACTGAGCGGCAGTTGGTGGAGGCTGGTGGAGGGTTGGAACGCAGGTCCTGCAGCCACATCAGATGTTTTTTGGCGGGTGAACCACTTGTCGGTAAGTCGACCTTGAAGGATTCCATTTGTCGTGGAACATTCGAATCCTGCATAGACGAGGTGAGGCAATGGGTAACTGGCGATCATCAGTCTGCCAAGCCTCGAACAAAGGGCATTGAAATGGTCCATTTGGCCTCAAAAGGGGTCAACATGCAGTTCTGGGACCTAGGTGGACAACCAGAGTACCACACCATTCATGATCTGTTTATGCCAACCCTAGGTGGGGACATGGCTGTGCCACCCATCTTCTTGCTTTTATACAATCCAGTGATGGAATGTGACCAGTTAATCATCGGCAGCTCAAGTGGTCACAACTCAGCAGATGAAGCAGAGAAGAGACAACAGGAAGGGTTTTGGAAAGGACTGAGGTATTGGCTGAGATTCATCGCAACAAACTGCAAAGCCAAAAGAAAGCCTTCTGTGATTTTCATCTGCAATCCTCACTTGACAAAGACACAGAAGCTGTCTGACCTGAAGCCTCTGGCTGGTGAGGTGGTCGATTGGATGTCGAAGGAGTTTCACGAGACGTTAGATATTGCGAATGAGGTAATCGTTATGGATGTGAGGAGGAATAGGGATGCAAAAGAAGTCAAGGAAATTGTGTTCGGCAAGGCAAAGGCACTACTTCATAACAAAAGTATGTTGAAAATCATGGAGAGAGTGCAAACGGTGATGATAGAATCCAGTCGGCCGGGGATTCCTCTTATGACATGGGCCAAATTCCGTGCAATTTGCTGGCCATTAACAATTGCAAGTCAGTATCATGAGGAGAGAAGTCGCAGAGAAGGAAAACCGGGACAGTGTCAGAGCGGGTTGGATTACAACGTCCTCCTCAAAGTCATGGCGAGCTATCTCCATGACATTGGACAAATTATTTGGTTTGAGCCGATGCCATTTGTGGTTTTGAACCCACAGTGGTTTTGTTGCAAACTTGTTGGCGAGCTCATCCCGACAAAATTTCATGCCCGTGGAGCCTTCAATGGGATCGCCAATCTGGACCTCTTAGAACGAGTGTTGGTAGAGGCTATTCCGGAGCCACGCGAGGTTGGTGTCGAGGATGTAGTAAATCTGATGCTCAGAATGGAGCTTGCTTATAAGGAATGCGATGCTGATCCCAGAAGCAGCTTGTTGATACCGTCGTGTCTTCCTAATCGTCAAGATGGGGACAAGATCAGCTGGAAAGTAGAGACGTCAAACGAGCACGAACCGAAAAGCCACTATTTTGGGTATCGGATCGAATGTAAAGACAAAAGGCGGACAATGCTGACTGCAGGATTCTTCCATCGACTGCAGGTAAAGTGTGTTTTGATTCCTGTGAAGGTTTTTTTTAACTTGTTCTTGTTTTTTATTTCAAATGCTTACTAGAAACTTCTCACTGTTTTTTTGTCCCCCCCCCCCCCCCCCATCCTATACCATTTCAATTTTCAAAGCATTTTCTGATATGAGGACCAAGGACCAGGTTTCTACACAATACTCCATAGCTTAGCAGTCGAGGCCACCCCTCTTGCCTCACCCTACCTTCTTGACACATAATCTAATTTCGTCAATCTGCGATGATCATCGCTCGGAAGACATATGAAAGTGTCACTTCTCCACTCGTTTCGCAGCATCGGTTGTGACGTGTTGGTGTCAAAGGATCCCCTCTAAACCTCCACAGGTTGGTGAAGCAACAGTGGACGTTTTTTTCCCCCTTGCCCAGTTGGTGTCAGTGTTTTCATTGCACGGGTTTCGTGTCTGGGGACTTGGGTTTTGTCGTTTTTTTCTTTCTTTCTTTCTTTTGAGATGAACATCCAGGGAATGGTAAGAGAACCAACGGGGTCGAGGCCTTCTGTTGGATGGCTCCGTTCCTTATTTATTTATTTATTTATTTATTTATTTATTGATTGATTGATTGATTTATTTATTTATTTATTTATTTATTTATTTATTTATTTATTTTTACTTAAGTATTCATTTTTGGGAAGACACCCGAGATAGTGCTAGGGGTGCTGATAAGAGCAGACACCACTAGCATTCCCTGGGGGATCCATCTATCGGGGGGGGAGCAGCACCTGCTGGAAAACGGGTCCAGCGTCTATTTGATGGGGACAGAGTATCAGGAAATGTTAGGGAGGCAGTTGGGAGCATGGTTAAAGACCAGATACTGAACAGACATAGCGGTGGTTTAACACTCTGGGATAGATGTCATCACATACTCTGCTTAAACAGGCTTCTGATCCTGAAATTTGCCGCAATGCCATCATAAAATGATTCTGAAAGCTACATAGGTGTAGCATCCTAGGGGCTGCTACACGGTTCATTTATTTTTGCTGAATCTTTGGTCTGGTTCTTTTTTGTAAGTCCCAGTTGTGTCATTGGGACTTTCCTGAGAGTCTGAACAGACCTGTGCATGTTCGGACCTGAGGACCACATTTAGGCCCAGGTAGGCCAGGTTCGTGTCCGTCGATAGGGAGGAGGTTCCAGCTGCATCAGCAGGATCACCTGGACGTTCGGGAGGGACCCAGGCAGGCCGTTTTGAGGCCAGGCCGCTTGTCCAGGACTTGGGCCTGCTATCAGGGCCGTCGATCAGATACTCGATCCGATGGTCCTGATCAGGGGCCGAGGGCTGCCCAGCCAGGCCCAGCGCTATATAGCTGGGCCAGCACTCTGGACCAGGACATTCAGGAGATCCTACTGTGTGGGCGTCATGCTGCTGGAGCAGCGCGTGATCTGAGCCCTGCGTTAGGTGTAGATGTAGAGAGGAGAGAGAGGAGTTGGTGGCCATAGCCGCAAGGTGTAGCGGACTTACCCGGGCGCCATAGCTGGACCTTCTCCAGCGACCTGCAGCACAGACAGCACACCTCCAACGGTCAGTATTTGTCATCAGCATTCCTCAGGTGAAACAGACGACAGAGGAGAGATCGACATCTGCTTCTTCTTCCTGTCTCCGCCCTCCATATCTTCGTCTTCTTCTTCTTCTTCTTCTTCTTCTTCTTCTTCTTCTTCTTCTTCTTCTTCTTTGAGAGAGAGAGAGAGAGAGAGAGAGAGAGAGAGAGAGAGAGAGAGAGAGAGAGAGAGNAGAGAGAGAGAGAGAGAGAGAGAGAGAGAGAGAGAGAGAGAGAGAGAGAGAGAGAGAGAGAGAGAGGTTCAAGGCAAAGCTGTTTTGGGCTATGCTGCCCAGGATCTGATTCGACATTTTGGGGCAGACTTGGATGGGCATTTTGACGGGAGACTATTGTGGATGACAGCGACTTGTGTTCTTGTCTTCCTCCTCCTTCACCTCCATCTTCGTCTTGCTCCTCCTACTCTTCTTCATACGTGGTGATCACCCCATGTGCGCATGCAGGGAGGGACCTTTCTTCCATGTTTGTGGTCCCTCCTCTTCTCTCACATGTGTGATGTTTGATGGGATGAGTCGGGTCAGTGTCTGTGGCATACTGCGTAGCCACACGGGCCCTGCAGGGCCCGTCCCGCACTTTCAGCCTAAAAGCCTAAAACTTAGGGCTTACAGGCCCCGGTCGTTTCAGCCTGAAAACTGAACTACGAGGGCCTGCAGGCCTTATTCCGTTTCAGCCTATTTCTGGGCCTTTCAGGCCCAGAGGCTTTTCAGCCTGAAACGGAGGGCCATTTTCAGGCCCTCATTGTGTTCGACCTACCTAAGACTCAGGCACGGAAACAGGGTTTCGGGAACAGRCCAGAAATAGCCTGTTCCCCACGCCAGCTCAAGCAGGAGCTGCAGCTGCAGCCCCTGCCTCCCTTCGGCATTGGCAAGAGCAGCCTCCTGGACTGCTCGTCTGCAGTCGGGAGGCACACCCGGTAGTACATAGGAAGTTCCCATGCACTTCCCAGGTAAGGAAGTTGTCAGTAGGCACGAGTAGTCTTCAGGATTCGGCCGCAGCACTCAGGAGGAGCGCTGCAGTAGTCTTCAGCGCTAGGCAGTAGTATTAGCGCTAGTAGTAGTCTTCAGCGCTGGGCGCCCATAGCCATAGCTGTAGTCTTCAGCGCTGGGCGCTATAGGTGGTAGATCGTAGAGTTGGAAGAGATGGCTGGCGGAGGCCAGCGGTACTTACCTGTGGCGCCATAGCTCCAGCTCCATCTTCGAGGTACCTGCATCAATGTGCCAGCTTCACAGGTTAGTACTGGACACAGAGAGAGAGAGAGAGAGCGTTCTTCTTCTTCCTCTTCTAAGTCCACCATCTCTTCTCACCCTCTCGCCCCCTGACTTCTCAGACTACGACAGAGAGAGAAAGAGTTGTGACTTGAGACTTGACGACATT